ACGTGGGTGTAAGTGTTGTAAGTGTGCGCGTGTGTACGTGTGTGTGTGTACGTGTGTGTGTACGTGTGATGTGTCCGGCAAAACAAACCCCTACCTCCTCGCGGTGCCGGACTGGCAACTCTGTCGTGGACAGTGCTGTGGGGGGAGATCCAATTTTGATTGGCTCCTCCCCTCATGGCATATGTGTCCACCACAGGGGCCTAAACGGGGGCTCTGGACGGGTGCGAGGGGCTGGTAACCCTCCACCTTCAATTAATTACCACGAAACCACGGAGTTAAACTGAAATATGTAACTAATAAGCTTGTGCCGGAGGCCCCGGGGGGCCATTGCGTCTATGACGTCTCCTGGCCAAACCCCAATTGGCGGAGCCAGGAGATTGAATATCTACCCTCGGGCTCCTCCAGAAACAATGAAAAGCCACTACGGGTGGCCACGTGGAATGTTCGAACGCTCACTGCAGAGGAGAGGCTGCCACTCCTCTGTCGGAGCTGGAACGGTACCGCCTGGATCTATGCGGCATTCAGGAGGTCCGGTGGACCGGCTCTGGCTCCTGCCACCATGAGGGGTGGACAGTCCTCTACTCGGGGCAGCAGACTGCCAAACAACAGGGTGTTGCTCTTCTTTTGAACAAAAGAATGAAGAGGGGGCGTGGGAAGCGTGGCGGTGGAGGGTGGGGAAGCTGTAAGCCACAGGCTACTTTGGGCTCGCCTTCCCCATCAACCGGAGGTGAGGAATGATGGTCGTGGTTACTTATGCCCCCACGAAGATGAACATCCGTGGAAGGATGCAGGCAAAGCCGATGATTTCAGATGCCTTCTATGACCTCCTGTCACAGGTGCTGGCTTAAAGTGGCCCCTCGGGATAGAGTCATCATGTTGGGTGACTTCAATGCCCGAGTTGGTCATGATACTGGTACCTGGTCTGGAGTGATTGGAGGGCATGGGGCCAGATCAGCTCAATAACAACGGTAGGAGGCTGCTAGATTTTTGTGCAGCCCATGGGCTGTAATTACCAACACGCTGTTCCGGGCATCGGCGCATCCACACAAACATCATGGATGCATGCCGGGTCCAAGCAAGAGCATCTGCTGGACTACATAGTGACGGACCAGCGGATGCGAGCCCATGTCCTTGACACCAGGACCTACCGTGGAGCTGATCTGCCCTCTGACCATCGACTAGTCATCTGTAAGATGCGCCTGCATTCTTCACTCCGGTGGTGGGTGTACACCTAGGACCCCATTCTCCAACCTAAAGTGGCCTGGTCTCAGTTATCTGATGAAAGTTGCAAGCGAGAATTTCATCATCGCTTGCGGCTGGGATTGGCATCGTCCCCGACTCCTCCTGATGTCGAGGGTAAATGGGCGAGGTTTAGGACTGTGACTCATGCAGCTGCAATGGCTGCTTTGGGTACGCGGTCCAGACCTCCCCAGAGACCCTGGCTGACAGAGGAGGTGTTCAGGATGGTTGAGAAAAGCGACAGGCCCACTGTCATCGGCTACAGAATCCCACATCAGAGAATGAGGAGGCTTACCGCAAACCTTCGCTCCGAGGTCGGAGAGCCGTGAGGCGCTGCAAAGATGGGTGGTGGTCGCGGGTTGCTGAGGAGATGGAGTCTGCCTCAGTGGCCCGTGATCACAAATCTCTATTTAACTCCATCAAAAAAGTAACCTGCAGCGCCACACCTATTACCATCATTAGGGGAAAAAACGGTGATCCAATCTCCCGACCCCCAGGAACAGGTTTGCAGATTGGCTGAGCATTTCTGTGAGGTTCTGGGGGAGGGAAAATCCCTCAGCAGGAAAACATCGTGGCACAAGTGAGGATGACCTGCTGAGGCTGCGGTGCCTGAAATATTGGAAGAAGTCACCCCCTGTGAGTGGCTGGCTGAGGTGCCCTTGTTGAGGAAGTACTGAAGGCGATCCGGAGTCTGAGACAGGAAAGGCAGCGGGCAGAGATGATCTCCCAAGCGAAATGCTGAGGAGGGTGGCGTTTGTGCACAGACTGCCTATATGAACATCATAACAACGGTCTGGACCACTGGACGGGTTCCGCAGGATTGGAAGGATGTCCTGGTGGTCCCCCTCTTTAAGAAGGGGGACCGCACAGACTGTAACAACTACAGGGGCATCTCACTCCCAGTGTGCCGGGAAATGTCCTGGCAAGGATTATTCAGCATCGCCTTGCCAGGCACGCTGAGGAGAGGCTTGCGGAGCCCCAATGCAGTTTCAGGGAAGGGCGGTCCTGCACAGATGCCATATTTTCTGTCCGTCTGCTACAGCAGAGGTGTAGGGAATTCCAACAAGACCTACATCTCTGCTTTATTGACCTGGTCAAGGCCTATGATACCATCAGTAGGCCTGGGCTCTGGGTCGTTCTTCGTGCTTTTGGAGTACCTGACCCTCTGCTCACGATCATTAAGAACCTTCATGATGGTGAGCGGACCCGGGTTAAACTACGTGGCCGGGAGTCAGAGCCATTCCCTGTACACCTTGGGGTGCGACAGGGATGTCGTCTGGCTCCCACATTATTAACATCTATTTTGACCACGTAGTTCGTGAAGCCTTCAATAGCTGTACGGGGGAATCTCCATACGGTACAGATATAATGGGAGGCTGATCGATGCCCGGGTGCGGTCAAGGGATGGCTCCCTATTGCTCAACCACGTTATGTATGCTGATGATTTGGTAATAGCTGCCTCAGTCAGAGGAGGAGTTGGAGACGCTGCTGCTGAGACTGGAGCGTGCCACTAAGAGGTGGGGCCTTACCATCAGCCCCACCAAAACTAAGCACCTGCCTGGGTATTTTGTACCATCGGAAACTCCACCCCCCACAACTCCCAATCGGTGATGGGGCAGTTGTGGAGAGAGTGGAGAGTTTCCCATACCTGGGCAGTGTGCTTATGACTGGCTCCAGTTTAACAGCAGAGGTCTCACTCCGAATCAGTCGAGCGGCAATATCTTTCATCGGTTGCGTAACACTGTGTGGAAGCTACCTGGTCTGTCGCTCCGCACTAAGCTTCAGGTCTTCTCGGCCACGGTCATTCCCTCCCTTCTCTACGCTTGCAAACGTGGACCCCCCTAATGGGACATCTTCGCCGGTTAGAAACATTTAGGCTGCCTGCCTACGATCCATCCTGGGTTTAACCAGACTGGATTGTGTGAGGAGCTCACAAATCCTTGAAAGATCTGGGCAAGGTCCCATCGGTGAGTTCCTCCGGCGGGCAGGCTGCGATGGCTGGGTCATGTAGCCCGCTATGCCCAGCCACCGCATGCCGAAACAGCTTTTGTTTGGCCGGATTGAGGGGGCTAAGCGGGCGCGGCATGGGCTAGAGAAGAGATGGAGTGATGTGGTACAGGAGGACGTGGAGCTGAGTGGACTTGCCGATGACTGGTACCAGCGGTGTCAAGATCGGCCTCTGTGAAGGAGGCTCGTGAAGGACGCTACTGGGCAGTTGGAGGTAGTCGCCCTCCAACAACAACGGAGGGCGGAGGAGCGACGCTCAGAACAACGAGCGGAGCGCCGGGTGGCTAAAGCACAGCAGGTTGGCACAGTAGGGGGCACAGGTGGTGCATCAGCCAGTTATCTCAGTCAGTCGACCCGTGGCACCTGGGTCTGCCCCGTGACCTCCTGCCAGCAGGCGTTCGACACTTCACGTGGCCTCAGGGTGCACATAGCCTGGCACAAGCGTCGTGGTGACGTTACCGCCACTTAGTGGCAAATGGCGGTTGTTGTTGTTGTTGTGTACGTGTGTGTGTGTACGTGTGTGTGTGTACGTGTGTGGGGCAGTTGTGGAGAGAGTGGAGAGTTTCCCACACCTGGGCAGTGTGCTTATGACCGGCTCCGGTTTAACAGCAGGGGTCTCACTCCGAATCAGTCGAGCGGCAATATCTTTTCATCGGTTGCGTAATGCTGTGTGGAAGCTACCTGGTCTGTCGCTCCGCACTAAGCTTCAGGTCTTCTCGGCCACGGTCATTCCCTCCCTTCTCTATGCTTGCGAAACGTGGACCCCCCCTAATTGAACATTTTCGCCGGTTTAGGCTGGCCTGCCTACGACCGACCCATCCTGGGTTTAACCAGGCTGGTTTGTGTGAGGAGCTCACAAATCCTTGAAAGATCTGGGCAAGGTCCCATCGGTGAGCTCCTCCGGCGGACAAGGCTGCGATGGCTGGGTCATGTAGCCCGCATGCCCAGCCACCGCATGCTGAAACAGCTTTTGTTTGGCCGGATCGAGGGGGCTAAACGGGCGCGGCACGGGCTAGGGAAGAGATGGAGTGATGTGGTACAGGAGGACGTGGAGCTGAGTGGACTTGCCGATGACTGGTACCAGCGGTGTCAAGATCGGCCTCAGTGGAGGAGGCTCGTGAAGGAAGCTACTGGGCAGTTGAAGGCAGTCGCCCACCAACAACAACGGAGGGCGGAGGAGCGACGCTCACAACGAGCAGAGCGCCGGGTGGCTGAAGCACAGCGGATTGGCACAGTAGGGGGCACAGGTGGTGCATCAGCCAGTCATCTCAGTCAGTCGACCCGTGGCAACTGGGTCTGTCCCGTGACCTCCTGCCAGCGGGCGTTCGACACTTTACGTGGCCTCAGGGTGCACATAGCCTGGCACAAGCGTCGTGGTGATGTCACCGCCACTTAGTGGCGAATGGCGGTTGTTGTTGTGTTGTGTGTCTGTGTGTATGTGTGTGTGTGAGCGGTGGTGCAGCGGTTAGCGCTACGAACCCGGCGACCCGGGTTCGATTCCCGCTCACGGCCAACACCGGTGGCGATTATTTGAACCGGTCCTGGGACTCCCCTAGGTCGACTCAGCCTCAAATGAGTACCCGGTGCGGTGCGTAAACGTCGCCACTGGGAAGACAAAGGCGGTCGGGCGTGGTGCTGGCCACCCACCCCCTCGTGTGCCGTTCCGGCCTTCATAGGTACTTGCTAACGGCGCTCGCCCCTACAGTCCGTTAAGGCTACATGGGGGATCTTTACCTTTGTCTTTGTGTCCCTAGGTGTTCGTTGTCACCCGCGCTCTACCTGCAGGTGCAGGTGAGCGAGAGCGCCCGGGACTGACGCACGTGTCCCTCTACGCCTGTCCGTGTCCGTGTCCACCGTCAAATCCTTACGCCGTCCCGGGCGAGGGTGTAGATCTTCACGCAAGGGGATCCCGTCTTATTCTCTGTGATTCTCCACAGAGTCCCACAGACTCACCACACAGAGACCCACAAACTTACCACACAGAGACCCATAGACTCACCACACAGAGACCCATAGACTCACCACACAGAGACTCATAGACTCACCACACAGAGACCCATAGACTCACCACACAGAGACCCATAGACTCACCACACAGAGACTCATAGACTCATCACACACAGAGACCCATAGACTCACCACACAGAGACCCATAGACTCATCACACAGAGACTCATAGACTCACCACACAGAGACCCATAGACTCACCACCATCTACCTCCACTAGTCTCCGTCTACCTCCACGAGTCTCCGTGTACCTCCACGAGTCTCCGTGTATCTCCACGAGTCTCCGTCTACCTCCACGAGTCTCCGTCTACCCCCACGAGTCTCCATGTATCTCCACAACCCCCCCCCCCCCCCAGCTGACCGAGTCCACGTCCTCCTCGGCGAAGTTCGAGCGCCACGTGTTGGAGGCTTCGCGTGTCAGCGACGAGCTGTCGCGGCGCCGCGTGCGCACCTACCAGCTGTACTCGCGCGCCAGCGGAGCCCACGTGCAGGTGCTGGGCACACACGTCGTGGCCCGCGGGGACGACGGGGACCCCTACGGTGAGACGGGGCGGCGGGGCCCATAGACTCACCACACAGAGACCCATAGACTCAGCACACAGAGAGACTCATAGACTCAGCACACACAGAGACCCATAGACTCACCACACAGAGGCTCATAGACTCATCACACACAGAGACCCATAGACTCATCACACACAGAGACCCACAGACTCACCACACACAGAGACCCATAGACTCAGCACACACAGAGACCCAAAGACTCACCACACACAGAGACCCATAGACTCAGCACACAGAGACTCATAGACTCATCACCACACAGAGACTCATAGACTCAGCACACACAGAGACCCATAGACTCAGCACACACAGAGACTCATAGACTCACCACACACAGAGACTCATAGACTCACCACACAGAGACTCATAGACTCATCACACAGAGACTCATAGACTCACCACACAGAGACCCATAGACTCATCACACACAGAGACCCATAGACTCAGCACACAGAGACTCATAGACTCATCACACACAGAGACTCATAGACTCACCACACACAGAGACTCATAGACTCACCACACAGAGACTCATAGACTCACCACACAGAGACTCATAGACTCACCACACAGAGACCCATAGACTCATCACACACAGAGACCCATAGACTCAGCACACAGAGACTCATAGACTCATCACACACAGAGACCCATAGACTCAGCACACACAGAGACCCATAGACTCAGCACACAGAGACTCATAGACTCACCACACAGAGACCCATAGACTCAGCACACAGAGACCCATAGACTCACCACACAGAGACCCATAGACTCACCACGCAGAGACCCATAGACTCACGACACAGAGACCCATAGACTCATCACACACAGACCCATAGACTCACCACACAGAGACCCATAGACTCACCACACACAGAGACTCATAGACTCACCACACAGAGACTCATAGACTCATCACACACAGAGACCCACAGACTCACCACACACAGACACCCATAGACTCACCACACACAGAGACCCATAGACTCACCGCACAGAGACTCATAGACTCATCACACACAGAGACCCATAGACTCACCACACAGAGACCCATAGACTCACCACACACAGAGACTCATAGACTCACCACACAGAGACTCATAGACTCACCACACAGAGACCCATAGACTCACCACACACAGAGACCCACAGATTCACCACACACAGACACCCATAGACTCACCACACACAGAGACCCATAGACTCACCGCACAGAGACTCATAGACTCAGCACACACAGAGACCCATAGACTCACCACACAGAGGCTCATAGACTCATCACACACAGAGACCCATAGACTCATCACACACAGAGACCCACAGACTCACCACACACAGAGACCCATAGACTCAGCACACACGGAGACCCAAAGACTCACCACACACAGAGACTCATAGACTCACCACACAGAGACTCATAGACTCACCACACAGAGACTCATAGACTCACCACACAGAGACCCATAGACTCACCACACAGAGACCCATAGACTCACCACACAGAGACCCATAGACTCACACACACAGAGACCCATAGACTCACCACACACAGAGACCCATAGACTCACCACACAGAGACCCACAGACTCACCACACAGAGACCCATAGACTCACCACACACAGAGACCCATAGACTCACCACACACAGAGACCCATAGACTCACCACACAGAGACCCATAGACTCACCACACACAGAGACCCATAGACTCACCACACACAGAGACCCATAGACTCACCACACACAGAGACCTCATAGACTCACCACACAGAGACCCATAGACTCACCACACAGAGACCCATAGACTCACCACACAGAGACCCACAGACTCACCACACAGAGACCCATAGACTCACCACACAGAGACCCACAGACTCATCACACACAGAGACCCATAGACTCACCACACAGAGACCCATAGACTCACCACACACAGAGACTCATAGACTCACCACACAGAGACCCATAGACTCATCACACACAGAGACCCACAGACTCACCACACACAGAGACCCATAGACTCACCACACACAGAGACCCATAGACTCACCACACAGAGACCCATAGACTCATCACACACAGAGACCCATAGACTCACCACACAGAGACCCATAGACTCACCACACACAGAGACTCATAGACTCACCACACAGAGACCCATAGACTCACCACACAGAGACTCATAGACTCAGCACACACAGAGACCCATAGACTCACCACACAGAGACTCATAGACTCATCACACACAGAGACCCATAGACTCATCACACACAGAGACCCACAGACTCACCACACACAGAGACCCATAGACTCAGCACACACAGAGACCCACAGACTCACCACACAGAGACACCCACAGACTCACCACACAGAGACCCATAGACTCACCACACACAGAGACTCATAGACTCAGCACACACAGAGACCCATAGACTCAGCACACACAGAGACTCATAGACTCACCACACACAGAGACTCATAGACTCACCACACAGAGACTCATAGACTCACCACACAGAGACTCATAGACTCACCACACAGAGACCCATAGACTCATCACACACAGAGACCCATAGACTCAGCACACAGAGACTCATAGACTCATCACACACAGAGACCCATAGACTCAGCACACACAGAGACCCATAGACTCAGCACACAGAGACTCATAGACTCACCACACAAAGACCCATAGACTCACCACACAGAGACTCATAGACTCACCACACAGAGACCCACAGACTCACCACGCAGAGACCCATAGACTCACGACACAGAGACCCATAGACTCATCACACAGAGAGACCCATAGACTCACCACACAGAGACCCATAGACTCAGCACACACAGAGAGCCATAGACTCACCACACAGAGACCCATAGACTCATCACACAGAGAGACCCATAGACTCACCACACAGAGACCCACAGACTCACCACACAGAGACCCATAGACTCACCACACAGAGACTCACAGACTCACCACACACAGAGACTCACAGACTCACCACACACAGAGACCCATAGACTCACCACATAGAGACTCATAGACTCAACACACAGAGACCCACAGACTCACCACACAGAGAATCATAGACTCACCACACAGAGACCCATAGACTCATCACACAGAGACTCATAGACTCACCACACAGAGACTTACAGACTCACCACACACAGAGACCCATAGACTCACCACACACAGACTCATAGACTCAGCACACAGAGACCCATAGACTCAGCACACAGAGACCCATAGACTCACCACACAGAGACCCATAGACTCACCACACAGAGACCCATAGACTCACTACACAGAGACCCATAGACTCACCACACAGAGACCCACAGACTCACCACACAGAGACCCATAGACTCACCACACAGAGACCCACAGACTCACCACACAGAGACCCACAGACTCACCACACAGAGACCCATAGACTCACCACACACAGAGACCCATAGACTCACCACACACAGAGACCCATAGACTCACCACACAGAGACCCATAGACTCATCACACAGAGAGACCCATAGACTCACCACACAGAGACCCATAGACTCATCACACAGAGACCCATAGACTCACCACACAGAGACTCACAGACTCACCACACACAGAGACTCACAGACTCACCACACACAGAGACCCATAGACTCACCACATAGAGACTCATAGACTCAACACACAGAGACCCACAGACTCACCACACAGAGAATCATAGACTCACCACACAGAGACCCATGGACTCATCACACAGAGACTCATAGACTCACCACACAGAGACTTACAGACTCACCACACACAGAGACCCATAGACTCACCACACACAGACTCATAGACTCAGCACACAGAGACCCATAGACTCAGCACACAGAGACCCATAGACTCACCACACAGAGACCCATAGACTCACCACACAGAGACCCATAGACTCACTACACAGAGACCCATAGACTCACCACACAGAGACCCACAGACTCACCACACAGAGACCCATAGACTCACCACACAGAGACCCACAGACTCACCACACAGAGACCCACAGACTCACCACACAGAGACCCATAGACTCACCACACACAGAGACCCATAGACTCACCACACACAGAGACCCATAGACTCACCACACACAGAGACCCATAGACTCACCACACACAGAGACCCACAGACTCACCACACACAGAGACCTATAGACTGAGCACACAGAGACCCATAGACTCACCACACAGAGACCCATAGACTCACCACACAGAGACCCATAGACTCACTACACAGAGACCCATAGACTCACCACACAGAGACCCACAGACTCACCACACAGAGACCCACAGACTCACCACACACAGAGACCCATAGACTCACCACACAGAGACCCATAGACTCACCACACAGAGACCCATAGACTCACCACACAGAGACCCACAGACTCACCACACAGAGACCCACAGACTCACCACACAGAGACCCACAGACTCACCACACAGAGACCCATAGACTCACCACACACAGAGACCCATAGACTCACCACACACAGAGACCCATAGACTCACCACACACAGAGACCCACAGACTCACCACACACAGAGACCCATAGATTCACCACACAGAGACCCATAGACTCACCACACACAGAGACCCACAGACTCACCACACAGAGACCCACAGACTCACCACACAGAGACCCACAGACTCACCACACAGAGACCCACAGACTCACCACACACAGAGACCCATAGACTCACCACACACAGGCCCCCATAGACTCACCACACACAGAGACCCATAGACTCACCACACACAGAGACCCATAGACTCACCACACAGAGACCCACAGACTCACCACACACAGAGACCCATAGATTCACCACACAGAGACCCATAGACTCACCACACACAGAGACCCACAGACTCACCACACAGAGACCCACAGACTCACCACACAGAGACCCACAGACTCACCACACAC